GAAGGCCTGTCCCTGCTGTAGTGATGACCAAGACAGCCCACGTGGAGAGGCTCCTTTGTTCCCAAATCCAGCTTCGTGCCTGCCCTGTGTCTCCCTGCAGTCATTCCCTTGTTCCTCCCGGACTTCGGGGGGAGGGCAACGCTGGGAGCTGTGGTCTTTATGGGCGTGGGGAATCAGGGCCGGGCGGGGTTGCTGCCCAGGGCTTTTATTTTCTCTCTGAAAAAGGACAAGTGCTGTGCTCTCCAGTGTGGTTACCACGGTGGGGGGCGGGGCTTAGCGGAGGGAAGTCAGGGTCAGGTGCAGAGTTGGGGAGCATTGGTGCTGCTGGCCAGTGAGCGTGGCTCCGCTGGGGGGCTCCTCTGCCCCCTCCTCGCTCTCCCTGCGGCTGACAAGCGGCGCTCAACAGCACCTGCCTGCTGCAGATGCCATACAACTCACCCCGGGCGCGGCTGGCGCTCGTGCCCCCCGTGCCGCACGCGTTTTGTTGGCTCTTTGGGGCTGGCGCCCGCCGATGACTTCAGGACTTTGCTGGCCGCCCGCCCTTGGGCTGCAGGACGCCTGCTCCGTCCGCGCCCTCAGGAATGCACGGCTCACAAAGGCTCACATGACAAGCGCCGCGCGAGCGAGCAGGGCTTGCCTGCAGCTCCCGTCTACGCACAGTTGGTTCCCAGCTGACAGACAGAATATGGGGTGGGCTCTGTCACCCGCACGCCGGGCCTGGCGTGCCCAGCTCCCCTCGAGACTGCACAGTGCCCAGACGCCCGCTGCAGCTGCCAGGATCCACGCCGCCGCGGCGCCCGGGAGCGGGGTCACTCTCCTCGTCTTCCTCCCGTCTGAGAAGGTTATATAAGGAGCGGACCGCTGCCGGCGGCACAGGGAAGATGAAGTCTTTGCTAAATGCCTTCACCAAGAAGGAAGGTAAGGGGACGCTGCCGGGCGCCGGTGCAGGTGGCACAGGGACAGGCGGCTTGTCACTGCTTCTCCAGGTGGAGGGGCAGCCTAGCTCCGCCTGGAACAAGGACTCGGGGCTGGCTCGGGGTGGGTCTGGTTGGTCCTGGCAGTGAAGGCGCCTGAAGGGCCGGTTTACTGAAGCCTGCAGCTTCAGTAGCATCGCGTTCCGAGGAGGTCTTCCCGGGGGGGGCAGGTGGCTCGCAGGGAACTAAGTCTTAGAAAAATCAAGGAAGTTCTGAGTCTGGTCTGCCCGTCAGTGGGGGGCTGCGAGGTGCTCCCTAATCCACTTGTCCGCCCTCCTCTGCTCTCCCTGAGTCGCCATTGAACAGGGTGGCTGGAAGCCTGCGGGTGGCAGGCTCTGAAAGGGCATATGCTTTTTGTCTTATCTTGTGGGATTTTCATTGTGGAAAAGAGTGTGTATAAATAACGCATGGGAGACAGCTAAGAAAATATCCACCCACTTGGAGTTTGCAGGTTGCCTGCAAGAAGGAAACAGTTGGGTGGAATATTAATCATTTTTAGACGGGAAAGGAGTTATTTTTAACCCTTTTCACAAAATCCACCTTGTCCCGGACGGCCCTGATTGGCTGCTTTGTCAGATAGAGTGTTGCAGCTTTGCGAGACCAGCAGGCGGATGGAGATGAGACTTTAAAGGAATTAGGAGGCCAGTTTCTGGCCCCAGCCCATTGTCATACCCTTGCCCAAACAATGTGAATTACGTTGGACAGGAAGCTAATTTCCTAGGAATTTTCATAATTAAACGAGGGAATCATCATTACCTGAGGTCACCCGTGTGATTCTGTTTGAGAAAGTCGCTTGGCCCTCAGGGAAACGCAATAAGAATGTCCCAATGATTTCGTCCCGTCATCTTCCAAGGGACCCCTGCCCAGTTGCCGCCCTCGG